GTCGGTCCGAGCCGCGCCTCCCCTCCCCTCGGCCGTGCTGCCGCTCCCGGGCTTGCGTAGCCTCGGAGGCGCTCGGGCTTGCAGCAGGGTTCTCAGCAGGGAGCAGATCCCACGCGGACTCCGGCTGCGCGCTTCCTCGCACCACAGCGGACAGCACAGCGTTTAGAAACAGCTTCTTTCCTGATGTAATCTCAGTTCTGTGAAAAAGCAAATTTAGTCACAGAGTGGATAAGGATGACTGACCCTTTGCTCAGAAAAAAAACCCTTTGCTTCCTAATTAAAACCATCTGGGATGATTATGCTGTTGATTACCTACACGATGCTGGCACATGTTCCCCACAGACTCCTGCCAGGGAGGAGCAACCATTCTGACTCCACAGGAAATATTCTGTATAATGCTGGCTTGCATAGGACAGTCAACTATAAGCTTATTTTTTATGTATGTCAAATACCAAGGATGTTGCATTTTTGGTCTTCCTTCAGGTAAATAAGTGGTGATTTATAGTCATTAAGCACTTTATTTGTGGCCTTCCTGAGAAATAAGCACTGGAAAACTCGTAACAGTAACTGTACCATCCAGCACTAAATTTAGATGATGGATGAAAGAGGCCACAGCAAGGCAAGGGCATTTTGGTAAGAAATTGCAAATGAATTCACAGAATTTTTGAGGTTTGAAGGGCTTCTTGAGATCATTGAGCGCAACCCACTGGCCCAAGCAGTGTCAGCTGCACCCTGGTCAGGTTGTCCTGGACCGTGTCCAGTTGTGTTCCGAGTGTCTCCACAGATGGGACGCCACAACCGCTGCCAGAGTACAACATCCCTCACAATAAAAAGTAGTGTGTTCTTGTGTTCCAGTGGAATTTCATGTGTTTTAATTTGTGCCCATTGCCTCTCGTCCTGAACCTCCCCTGTGCTGCACCCCATTGGGTATTTATGCACATACATGAGACCACCCCTGAGCCTCCTCTCCTCCAGGTGAGAGACATGACAGATGCTCCAGTCCCTTCAGCCTCTCTGTGGCCCTGGGCTGGACTCCCTCCGGTTAAGTCTGTATCTTGTACTGGGGAGCCTAAAGCTGGATGCAGTACTGCAGGTACAGCCTCACCAGCTCAGTGATTTGCCAAAGGAGTCCAGGGACTGTCTTTTGCCAGCACAGCCAAGAAGGGGCTCTCCAAGGTTTAAAAAAAATAAATCTCACAACAATTCCTTCTCAGCTGTTCTTGCTGCAAGCAGTTAATACACTGATGGAAAGGAGTAACCGGTTTAAAGATACTGGATCTGAAATAAACACGATCTCCTAAGTCTTTCTTAAGGAGAAGCTACAGACTCGAAGTGCATCATCCTAATTGAACATTTACTTAAGTGTAACAGTGCAAAAGGGCACATTCTCTCAAGCTGACACTGTTCTGTTGGAGTGTGCAGCCCTCAGAACAGACAGACGTGCAGCCAACAGCAATGCTGAATGGGAAAGGCTGTTCAGCTGCTGGGGCAGCCGCACACTGGGAACTAAAGTACAGCTATTCCCCTATTTCAGACACTGGACAGCTTACCCAAAACACAATAAGTGACGTGACAAGCAAAATGAATAAAAACCAAACACAGCTGTCTTAAAAAAAATTTATTAGAAGGCACCAATGACTCCGAGAACAACATTCTGATCATCTAATTTTGTAGTGAGAAAACATTGCATTGTGAGGTTCTCATTTCTTGCCCGTTTTGTATTGGAACAACCAATCACTTTGGAATTCAGAACGTTTAGAAAATACCAGCTTTGTTAATGTACAGAAAAGATTCTGAATGGCTTTTTTTTCCACCATACCTTTGTAATTCTATTGAGAAATGCAATAAAATCCTCTTCTGTGAGAACAGAGAACACTACAGCAGTGCCACGCTTTATACGTTTCTTTAAGCTTTAAATTTGGCAACATGTTCACGAGCTATGATCATCCTTTGAATCTGAGCAGTTCCCTCGTAAATCTGAAAAGAAGAATTGGAATGATGTTAGCTGTGATTTTTTAACAGATCTACACTTTAAAACCCTTATGGCACTAAGCCAGTGTGGATTAGAAAGAGAGAGAAAACTGAGAAAATTCCAGTGTGACAGAGTAACTACAGTGGGCTAAACTGAATAAATGACATAAAAGATACTGGGAGACAATCTTGTTCTCTCAGGTGCTCTTATCTAAGTTCAGTAAGGTTCAGAAAATAAACAGATATGGTGGGTGAAGAAAGATGAAGAAAATTTATCTGAGTAAGAAAATACATAATTTAGGTTTTACAAAGGAGGATTTGAAGCAACAGGTGGAGGGAGGTGACTTGTGCTGAAAGTGTATTTTCTTTGACTAGCCTTCCAAGGTCATGCCCAATGTTCCCTTTGATCCCTTTCTTTCCATTGCTTCTTGTTAACTAGTACTCTGCCATACAGTTTTGTCTGGTGTTTTGGTTTTTTAATCACTGTGGGAACACAAAGACTGGAGAGGGGGACTTGCAGCTGGGGTGTCAAAACCCACATATACCACGCTAATTGTTGCTTAGCTTTGTGTGCCCGAAGGGTAGAACCTCTGCGTACAGGTAACAGAGGCCTGTGACAGACTGAGAGGCACCGTACCGACCACTCTGGAGCTTCCTGCCCTGCTGTGGGAAAGATCAAAGCACAGTGGAATAGTACACCTGCGAAAATCCCTGACATACACAGGGGAAAGCAGCAGGTTCAAGATCCTTTTCTTCCTTCTATTTCTGGGCAGCAAGGCTCGAGCTCTGCGGCGCCTGCGTGCCTTTGCCCAGGTGCTGCTGTGCAGATCCCCCGACCATGAGGCAACGGAAATAAATTTACTCTTTGCATTTCATCCATAGCTTTGTGGTTGTTGCTGTGTCCTGCCTCTGCCAGCTCAAACAATCATGTATTGCATTTTCTGCTAGAACCAGCCTGCATTATCCCTCTGTTCTGTTTGTTTCCCAACAGCAAAGTCAAAAGACAGACAACAAAGCATCTGTGAATCTCTAACGCCCAAGGAGGCCACACGCCCCACAGCTACACAGCAATGTGAGGTGAGGCCCCGAGGCAACATCATTACAGGGTTTAAGTGTTTCAGCTCCCAGTTCTGCCAGAACTTGGTCTGGCAAATTGCTCAAATTCATGCAAATCCACTTTCTCATTCACTTATAGGAATAATCTTCCCAAGAACCTTACAAAACTTTCTGAAAATAAAGATGCTACAACCTCTGTTCACAATAGGGGTTTTTGTTCAGAAGAAATTGCTCATTCCCAAGGGGAATTCTCAGACTGCTGCTGCTTACCCCATGTCTACCCAGTTCGTAGAGCAGGCAGTGCCTTTTGGAGCAAACTGAAATGGAATTTCTGCTTTATACTTTATATACCAACTACCCACCAATCCCTAGTGAAGTCATAATGGTCCAGGCTCACAGCTGGATCCTTACAAATGCAGGCGTAGGGGGACGCACAGTCCCAGGGACCAGGGAGGCTTGCTCTGAACCCAGCCTGCCCAGACTGCTTCTGGGGTAGCTGTCGGGGCCTCAGCAGCTGTTCCTGCAACCTGCTCCTTTTGCACTGAATTACTTGCTGATAGAGACAGCCACAGAATTCAAGTGTAAAGACATCAAAACTCACAATCTTCTTAAGTAATTACAAAAAAAGGTTCTGGTTTATATCACTGACAATTAAAGAAGGGAAGTTTTCCAAATTTGAGAAAGGAAACTGAGTTAGAGTTTCTACCAGAGTAGCCTAGACTTGTAGCTGAACAAACCTAGCGCAGAGTAAGGATGCGTAAAAATGTTACCAGTGAACACAATATTACAAAACTGTGTAATACTGAAAAAGATCAAATACATGGAAGAAAAGTTTTTGTACATGAAACCTATGGCTAAAAGCATGTATCATCTGGAACCAGGCAGCAATACAGTAATGCACACAAGTGTAAGGTATCAGAGGCATGGACAAAATAATTGTAAAGACAAAAGCCTTTCCTGAATTTTTTTTGGGGTGAAGTGGAACAGAAGGACACAAAAAAATTAATACTAGATCTGATTAATCTGAACAATTGAAAAGTCATCTACTTAGCCATGCATTTGTGATGGAAAAATCTATATAACTGGGATCCTGAAAAATCAACCTCGGCTTTCAAATGAAGTTCTGTTCTAACTCTCACAGCATCTTTCTCTGGAAGAGCATGCAACCTGGCAGGAAAAGAGCCCAGTCATAGTAAAGTCCAATTAATCATTCATTTCCTCACTCACAGAAGTGGAGTTAGTTCTAAAAACCTTTAGATTCCAAAATAGTGGTTCTCTTTCCTTACATAGAGAAAAAAAATAAAAGTCTTGGCTAGTGAGCAGAATAGTTTTCATTTTAAAGTCAGCTGTAAGAGAAATATGAACTACCTAGAATCTTAAGAATGACAGCTGTTATAATAGCTAACTAGCACTACAGGTCATGGTCTGCATGCGTCTCGGTATCATCTATTTTGATCTGTTTTATCTAGTCACTAATAATGTCATAAAATGTCATAATGTCAATAAAGATTACTGGTTTTGCTAAACACATTTAAAATATTCTTGCTGAATAAAGAACTGTAGCATAGTATATGCTAATGGAAGAATTGTGACATGACATGGAGTAATTTCTTGGCAGTAACATCGCAGAAAAAAACCTGGGGATTACAGGTGGCTATGGGCTAAACATAAGTAAATATGAGAGGGTTTTGTGTTAAAAGAAAGGCTAATCATTCCAGACGGTGTCACACTTCCATTAATACAACATATGCAAGATAAATCATTCCATGATACTCAACACTGGTGATATCTCAACCAAAGTATTCTACCCAGCTTATGATAACAAAGTTTCAAAGAGAAGGTTTAGACACAGCAACAAATGAGGAAGTCTGGAAACAGAAAGGAAAAAAAAAAACAAAACACAACAACCAAACCAAAAACCCCACAACATAAAGAAAAAGGTGAAGAAGCTGCTTTAGTGTTCAGGCTGAGAGGAAAGCTGATCTACAGGCAGGCACCAGTCCAGGATACATATGGAAGGTCAGAGATTTCCATCACTGAAGGTTTTTGAGAACAGCATTATATGTAAACTCACAGAATACCAAAGCAAGCACTGGTATTTTGATCGGGTATTTTCTATGGTGTTTTTTTTCTAAGAGTTCAAAAGCTTCAAAATTGAGTCCAAGAACTTCAAAGAGTAACCACATTGGGGGGAAAAAAAAAAGAAAAAACATAATTTACTTCTCTTATGTGGGTTCAGTTGTTGGTCCAGTGCAATGACACTTATATGCAAGAAGCTATCTGATATGCATAACTCTTTCGTTAAACTGAAGGATTATTGCTTTCATTCTAAAAATTTTTTCATACATGTACATTATAATTTGAAATAAGTAGCCATTAGTTTCTTTTATATAAAATGTATCCATTACTATAAAGATCACTCTCTCTTTTACCTACCTGGTAGATTTTAGCATCTCTCATTAGTTTTTCTACAGGATATTCAGTATTAAATCCATTTCCTCCAAAAATCTGTACTGCATCTGTAGCAACTTGGTTTGCAACGTCACCAGCAAATGCCTTTGCAATGGAAGCGTAGTAGGTGTTCCTGCGACCAGCATCGACTTCCCACGCAGCTCTCTGGTAAGCCAACCTCGCCAGTTCCACTTTCATCGCCATTTCAGCAAGCAAGAAAGATACTGCTTGGTGCTGTAAATGATGAAATAAAGGAGGTTAACACTGCCCGCTTAAAATTCTGTGACATCTGAGAAAAATATCATCTTCTTAATACGGTGTTCTCTTCAACAAAGTCTGCAAATTGTGCTAGAGGAGCACTACAGAATATAGATGAGGCTCTTATAATTGTATGTTAAATTAGACTTTAAAGTTTTTAATTCTCAAATCCATTTAGTCACTGGGATTAAATACTGAATTATGCATTTCTTCTTTACTATTTATGAGATTGGTATTTACCTTGCTGTTTATTCATACTTCTTTAAAACTGGTAAGCAGTGTGATTAGCAATGTATTCTATTCCTGTTAGTGCTGTGTGTCTTGTTCCACATACCTCAGAGGTTTTTTCCTTTCCTGAAAATCCCTGTTTAGTAGCACTGAAGAACTTAAGTATGTCCTGATAGCACATGGGTTCCCAGTTTCTGGGCAGAGTTTACTTTCTGCTTTTACTATTATCACCAGTGATAAACTACAGAAAAATACCTGAAGTTACCACACAGATAAGTTTACTCAAATGGTGCTGACCTACCTACTTGGAAACCCCAAAATGGCAGAGTTATAATATAAAAATTAAGGAACTAAAAAAAATCAAGAAGTAACCTTGAAAAATCAGTAGTAGTACATCTGGTGTGAAAACATGTCTTTTATTTATAGTCTCTCTCTCTACCCCCCCAACCCCCCCCACTTACTTCAACAATTGCTTTCCCAAAGGTTTTTCTCTCCAAGGCATATCTAGTGGCTTCATCAAGTGCTCTTTTTGCTAATCCAACAGCACCAGCTGCTACCTGAATTGAATACAGCACAGGATAAAAGATCAGAAATTCCTGCTATATTTTATAAATTTTATTTCTGATACTTACAGGTGGTCTGGTCTTATCAAAAGCTCCCATTGCGATTTTAAAGCCAGCTCCCTCAGCTATTAATACATTTTCTTTCGGAACTCTCACATCTTCAAAGACAATACCTCTTGTATCTGAGCAGCGTTGACCCATATTCATTTCCTGAAACAGAAAATTTACAGAGGTGTGAGTAAATTGGGTTATTCAAAGGTACAATACGTTTTCATTCTTTAGTTTACTCTAAGTATGATATTTTTCCCCCAAAACACTTTATCTAAAAATTACCACATAGCAATAAATACTAGTTTTGCACTCGCAGACCAGCATGCCCTTATTTGTCTAAGATGGGCAGTTTACCTTCTCCTTATGTGAAATCAGTTCTGTAGCTGTAATCAGTCTTGTCAACTCTATCCTTTGAGATGGGAGTGGAAAAAGTAAAGAATCTAATATGCAGGCAGTACAGGTGTACTGCAAGTAAATAAATAAATGAGCTTTTCAAGTTTTCAGATTCCTTTCCAAATGTTCAAGATCCGGTTTTGCATACTACTAAAAATAGTACTTTTAAAAAAATTATTTTTAGAGAGAAGTAGCAGCAGTGTCTCCATGGCCTTGTCCTCGACCAGCAGGAGCTACAATTAAAGCTCACTCCGTGTGTATTTGTGGTTAAGTTGTCCAAGTTGCTTCTTACCCTTCCACGGCACACTACTTCTCATTTATTGGCACTTGTCAATAAAATAGTTCTCAAAGATTCTTTTGCAGCTGTTCAAAGTCAACTTACTTTACACCATTCTGAATAATTTCTTACTGAATTAATATCATCACAATTAAGTATGTCTTATGAATAGTTTCTGTATGTTGTGAAAATGAAAAGATCATTGTACATGAGCTATGAAAATGTTGAGTTGCATAACAGTCTTTCTCCTTTAACGGTAATTTGTTGCATTACTGGTTTAGAACTGAACAGCAGTTTCTGACTTGTCAAGGGATAGTCTTCACCTTTCTCCCAATCTGGATTCCAGGGCTATCTGCTTCCACAATGAATCCAGTAAAGGCTTTGCCTGCAGGGGCTTTTGGATCTGGATCGGAACGAGCCAGCAAGAAATACCTAGTGTAAAACAAAGAAGGATGCCGTTTATCCTCACAATTAACAACCAGATACTTTTTTAGCTAACATTTTAGATGTTTTTATGTGCATTTCTGCCACATAATAAATTTTATCTGTTAGGTAACAACCTTTTTTTTTTGCCCCTCACAAAAATAAACTGAGAAGGTGTGAGAGAGGTTCCAAATATTCAAGATTTCATATAATTTATTAATTTATCCAAGAAAATCAGCTTTTGGATAAATGTATAAAGTTTTTCCACTTGAATTAAGAAGTTGTGTGTTGCAAATCAGTGTGATTACATTTGCAAGATGTAAAACACAATGAAAGAGGTATATATTGTAAAGCATGCTCCACAAGGCACCACAGCATTATCTGGATTCTTTGATAGCTAGAAGAAAGCAATCAACAGTGTTTCTAGCTTTACTAGAAGTAAGAGGTGCTGCTACTACAATCAGAAGCAACTGATCTTAATCATTCCAACTACAAAGCAAGGTAGCCAGTAATGTGAGCCTCCCGAGTGCTTTGCAAGTGACATCATACTGCTGCTGTCCTGCCCTGAAGAAAAAGCAGAATTAATTTCGTTTGATAGCAGCAAGATTCAAGAGGTCTTCAGCGGGGATTTGTCAAGTCACTGCTCATTTTCCTTTTTAGGCTTTGCACAGCACTGACACTGCATTCTTACATCTGTCCTGATAAACTGGTCAGAGATTAAAGTGTAGTGTGTTGAAACATGATGAACCTTTACATTTATAACAGATCTTTAAAGACTTTGACTTGGGATGGGGGACAGGGAAGCCACTATATAACATAACAACAGAGAGTATAACATGAGTTAACAGGTAACACACCAGTTTGCTTTCCCACCGTTTGTGATCCACATCTTCTGACCATTAATAACATATTCATCTCCTTTCTTCTCAGCCTTCGTTTTTATACCAGCCACATCAGAGCCTGCTCCAGGCTCTGTTACACAGTAAGCCTAAAAGAAATAAAATGCAAAATCTTGAGGAATAAAAGTTCAATTTCTAGGCAACCACAAATTATTGCAGACTAAGCGCATCAAAATGATCTGTAAAAGGAACTGAATGGTAAAACCCCAAAACATTAAATAAAAAAACCCCAGAACAACCCAACCCAAAAACCTGGACACCAGCTGACTGAGCAAGAATCCACACATATATAAGTGAATTTTCTATATAAATCCTTAACACAATATAAAATTGTCTTTTAATCAAAGAGAACCATTCTGTAACCCTTAAGTCATTACCTTCCTCAGGCTTCACAAACTCTGATGTGAAACCTGAGGATCTTTTAAGTCAGAAATAAAAACACTGAGTAACATTTTCTTTACTGGGTCCTTCATTTTATGAGGCTTAGTGGTTCAGATTTTAATGCACTGCATACGAATCTTCTTTCTATGTAACAAGTACTGCTTATATAATATTTAACATCAAAAATATAATTTAATTCCCATCCAAGTTTCTCCTTGCAAACCTTGTATTTTTATTAAATGCCTACACCCCCTCTTGAAAGGAAAATAAAAGGTATTATTTTTTGATAAGTGACTTGGGATGGGGATGATTTTGCAAGTAATATCTCTTATTTGCTTACTGGATGTATCTCATTAGCTATTCCCCGACTTTCAGTAAAAGCCACTGTTTTATTTACAAACCAAAATGTGCTAAGTTTGGAGTACATGTCAGTGTTTTCGGGGTGGGGGGGAAATGTGAAGAAAAGAGTATGACTATGGTTAAGAACATTCTAGAGCGTAGGAGTTACACTTACACACATCATTGGTTCCTCTGTCATTCTTCCTAAGTACTTTTTCTGCTGCTGCTCATTTCCCGCAATGATTACTGGCATTTGCTGAAAGAAAATATTTAGATCTTTTAAATTGCACATATTTGAGTTTAAGGGACATAAGAAAAGACAACTTACCCCTAGGGAATTTGCTTCGATGGCGGTCTGAACCCCTGTACAACCATAAGCTAACTCTTCCGTGATCAGGCACGCTTCGAGACTGCCCAGGCCAAGACCACCTGCAGTTGAAATATTTCACTTACTAAAATGGCTTTAAATTGTAACGTATTAGTGATTTACACAAATTAACAAGAACGTATGCCCCCACATACCTTTGATTGTGTACCGTGTTTGATTATATATTCCCAGGCAAGCTTTTTAAATAAAGTTTTGTCAGAAGAGTAACAGGAGATTTGAAAATTACTATCGCAGTTCCAGGGTTATTGTGTGATTCACATGGCACAAACTGCACAAAGTGGCAAGAATGTACCACTCTAATTTTTCTACTACTATACTTGAGAATTAAGAGTTCTTAGGAAGCAGAGAAAGGGCTCCTGAGCTACCACAGCACTTAGGGGAAAAATATGTCTGTATTAGTCAGACAACCACCTCGGCAATCTGTTTCTCAGAAAGGCCAAGACTTTGTGAAGTACATATAAACACAATGACAATACAACTATACTTCCTCAAAAATATTATTCCAAGCCTTCAGGTGGCTTCCTCAGCCAAAGAGATACCTCTCTCTGGTATCTTCGTTATGCTAACCCTTGACAGGTATTACTAATGTGAATTTGCCTAGTCTCCTTTTTGAATTTATGCAAAAGTTTAGCATCAATATCATCCAGGGGCAATGAGTTTCACAAATTAACTACACACTGCATGTAGAAACATCTCCTTTCATTATTCTGAACCTGCCATCTGCTGACTTAATTTGACGCCTTCTAGTTGTATTGAAAGGGACAGTGAACTATCAATCTCTTTTCACACTCTCCATGACACCAACGTTTTAGTCATTTCTCATACAGAAGCTACATCTCACAGAGAAGATACATCCTTTATAATCTCTGTCATCCTTTTAGGAACCTCTTCCGTTTCCACAACACTCTTCTGAGATAGAAGGAGCTGAGTATACAATGAATTAAAGAGGCAAGTGCAATTTGGACTCAGGCAGCACCATAATTATGCCTTCTGCTTTTTTCTTCATTCCCTTAAAGGTCCCTGCTGACCTTAAATTTTATGATTTTGATCACTCCTGAGTGTTATGCTGACATTCACAGAGCTATATATTATAAACCCAAAATAGCTTTTTTGAGAGGCAGTAACTAGTTCAGAAAATACCATTTCTCTGTGAAGTTTGGATTGCTTTTTTCCCTTCATGTGTGCATCACTTTTCCGTTTTTGAATTGCATTTGCCATTTTGACAGTCACTCAGTTTCATGACCTTCTCTCCTTCAGCTCTTTGTACCAGCCACATCTTCTCTGCACCGAATAACTTAGTATTATCAGTAAACTCTATCACCTCAGTATTGACCCCCTTTTCCAGTTTATTTATAGATATTCCAAACAGCACAAGACCCAGCAAGGCTGTGCTGCTAATTTTTCCACTATGAAACCTCATTATTTTTAAAATTCATTTTGGATGTTCAAGCACTGTCTATCAACCAGGCATCCCTTATTCACACACTTATTAGCTATTTCAGAGAACTCCAATGATTTTATGAGGCATGGCTTCCTTTCACAAAAACCCTTCTCTAGCACATCATGTTGATCTGTGTCTTCTATTTCCATACTTCATCCTAATTGCTCTTAATTTACATGCTCTATCAGATTTACTAGCATGTATTTTCCCAGATCTCCCTTAAAGACTTTTCAGAGCAATGGTGACCAATTTGCAACTTGTAATTTTTTATTTAATGATCAAGCGATTATACACTGCAGTAGTTCAGTTATTTCAGACTTTAGTATTTGTAGAATTTGTGGCTGAGTAAGTCTAGCCCTCACAATTGCTCCTTTGGTCTCTTTGTTCTTTAACCTCGTATATCAAATTTTTGATACAAGATATACCTTCTGATTAGTCAGACAGTCAAAAAACTGTCTGCTATGGATACTTCCCTAACTTCTTTTTCAGGTAATAGAAATGAAAAACAAAACAAAACAACAACAACAACAACAACAAAACACCAACAAAAAAAAAACACTATATTTTTTCCATGGTAACTCATACGCCTAAACACTGCCAAAGCACTGCTGTACTGCACCTACTCTAAACTGAAAAACTGTCCTTCTGGAATAAACTCTTAAATTGCTCCAGCCGGTGTCGGAGACCGGAACAAAACATG